GATTAGAATAAAACGTGAAAGGTTAAAATAAAATAATATAGTAAGATGCGACCTACACATGTCTTTGTCTATTCTATTCTATATCCTGTTTGCGTCGGGCAACGTAAATTGGACCAGACATCGGAGGAAATAGCTCTCAGTAGCTCTCAGTGTCGAAAACAGCGGACCGTCGAACTGTAGTAATGGCTTACCATGGCTTTATAGGATCTATCCTTAGATATGGTGCGATTTTCTGGGGTAAGTTTACCTACAGAGAAATATTTAGAGCCCAAAAGCGATGTATCAGACCTATATGTAAGCTTAAGTACCAGGTACTCAAGGTCAAGAACCTCATCATAAATACCGATCTTTTTTCCGTGACCTGAGATTCTTGATCTCCCATGTCTGTACATCCTGGAAGCATCGTTGTAAAGACGAATTCGAGCGTATTTCCAGAGAAAATAACTGGCGCGCGACGCACTGGTGGTGACTCACAAGCGCACTTATTTCGCAGCAGAAAATGTATGGTTCAAAGAATTATTTATAAAACGCTATTTTTTAATAAGGCATTCAAAAATAGCTTTGTAGATATGACACCTAAAATATTCAATAAAAACCCAGACGCGCCAGACGGAATAAAAAATCTTAATAGAATACGGTTCTAGCATGTATTGACACAACTATTAATTGACAAGTGTTACAACGAAAATTTAAAAGTACGTGGCTAAAAACTGGTTTTGGAAAAGGGCGATAAAAACGTGGAATGACGATGGAGGAGGTCGCATCATAATACGTATACGGAAATTTAACTGAAAATTAACAAACAGTGACGCAATGCCTTTTCGCCATTATTCATAATGTGGAACCTATTAAATAATTCAATTCGTCGATTTCAGTTATTACGAAGCTATTATAACACGGGTTAAAATAAATCACAGCTCAGTCGATATATTTAAAATTCGATTCTCGATTTCACTGATCGTGTCACTTTAAAGGCTCATGAAGTTGAGACGTGCCATTCTAATCAAGCTAAATTAGACGGAATAAAATTTAAAAAATGTATTTTTTTCTAAATCAATAGGTTCATGTAAATAATAAAGCTGTATATGTACATGTTTTAGGTTTTAATTAAAACTTAAACCTATAAAATATAAATAAAATAAATGTGTAAATTCTGTCTTTTATGTATCCTCAAAATATTTGTAGTATACGATTATTCCTTTTTGTTACAGTTATTGTGAAAGAAATGCATTAACAAAATTATTCGTATACTTGTTAGTCATCGACGATGTTATTAGTATTGCTTTTATTACTACAACTTTCTGTTTTTTAACCGACTTAATAAAAAGGAGGTTCTCAATTCGACTGTTTTTTTTATATGTAATGTCACACGATTACTTCGGCATTTGTGATCCGATTTGGATGATTATTTTTTCGGTTTATTAGATTTCACCCACTTTCCGTTAACCGATTTCGATGACACTTGGCAAATAGGTGAAATTCCACAAACTTTGAGGTCAGTTTTTTATAATTGACTTGCTGATACAGAAATGCTTATGTTACGTAAACGATTAATTACGAAGCGTTTAAGGCGAGAAACTACTACAAAACGTCTCCTTCACAGACACATGAAAAGTAAATCTCCCTACTAGATATGGGCCATGGATAAATATCATTGAGATAAATACTCAGTAGAAAGATAAATAGGGATAAATATCCATATTTATCATCATTAATGATGAGTTAAGCAAGATACAATTTCCCCACTTTTGAGGGAAATGTTATTCCATGGCATCATTATTTGTATAGTTGTGTACGTGCCCACGAGCGTAGATACAAGTTGCTTACGCATACATGAATTTGATTTTTGCCTCACTTGTGACAGTTCGTTTGATATGAAACTATCATTGTATGCGTTATTATTCTGAGGTTTTTTTATAATAAAATTCATTTTCATTTGGCCATTGAGGTCAAAGTAAAAAACAAAAAAAAAATATCCATGTTTTAGGATAAATACTCAGTAAAACTAAATATTTATCCTTTGACGGATATTTATCGGGGAAAAAACATCTTGTCTACTACTTCGCCTCGTCGATGCTCATAAATCTTAAGGAGGAACCGCAAAAAATACAAGATACAGTTGTTTGAAGATCCAAAATGCCGGAGTAATCGTGTAACATACATACAAAAAAAAACAGTCGAATTGAGAACCTCCTCCTATTTTTCAAGTCGGTTAAATTTTAATGGGACCAATTGTGAGGTACCCTCTTTCCAACAAAAAAATAATCATTCAAATCGGTTCACAATCGCGTAACATACCTTTACAGCTATCAACGCGACTGACTAGAGATATTTTTGAGATTTTATTGAATGTCACGAATTTTTCTAAGTACTTGTTGCAGATCTACGTTTGTAAAGCTACCTGGCTGAGCGAGGAAATAGATTTCTCACAGGTAGGACAAAAAAAGTCATTAAAAACCAAAAACAAAGATCTGCGACAAGCACAAAGAAAAATTCGTTCGGTCTGTTGTTTCGTTCGTGGCTTAGTTAGCACAACGTCTAGCGCTTTTTGCTGGAAGACGCTGGTTCAAATCCAGCCAGAACAAAATAATTTTTTAGTGTTCGATCTTCGTATTAACAATTAAACAAATTAGTGGAGTAATTTCACAAAAATAATTGAAAATCATTGTGAAACATCGTGACTTTCAATAAAAATTTAAAAATTTCAATTACATTACCGTGATGAACATCATGATAATTATTAATGGTAACTATCACTTCGAACCCTGATTTTTATAAAAGGTCATATAAAAGTCTAAAGTACATTTGGATCAAAATCTGCTACATTTGTACAGTCTTCATAATAGAAAGTAATATTGAGTATGCGCCAACAAAACCTATTCCAGCCCGTGGGATATGCATTTATTACTAAATCAATAACAAACAAACGCTTCACGACTCGCCTAACTACTGAAGTTAGCTTTGTAATTTTCCATGCCCGTTCAAAGTTAAGTTGAAAAAGAATGTTTTAAAACAAACGACATGGAAAAAATACCAAATAAAGTCAAAATTTACTTCAAAATAAAAAAAAATATTCATTATTTTATATTATTAATTATTTCATTAAGTCAAACCTATTTCATTCCAAACAAAGAGATTTTAATTATCATGCAAATTTAATGAAATCATAACAACACATAACACGTGGTTAATTAATAAAGCACATACTCAACATAGCCCCGCATTAGGGAAACCCTGTGTCGCGGGTGCCATGGACACACACACATAGACAACCACAAATTACACCCAAACTCACGAGTGAAATAAATGTATGCCATGCAAATATATATCCCGGCCCGGGAATCAAACCTGGGACCTCTGCGTGGCAGTCCTGGTATGATGACTGTTCCGCCACGGAATTAGTTAACTGTTTCTAGTGTAGTTTAGCTATCAAGTCTTAATAATCCAACACAAAAATTAATCTGTAATTTGTACCTTTGGTAAAGCCACATTGTGATCATTCGTCAAAACTGATTCATAAAAATAATACGAACTGCGTAAAACAAATTCTGCACAAGTGAAATTTTATAACTCTCGCATTTAACCATGAAAATATACATAGGGCGCACTATAAGTTTCCGAAACTGGCCACTTACATAAACAATATTTAAAAAGTAATTACAATATTTGAAAATGGAACTCTTTGGCTATAGAATACAGTTTGTTTCATCAGACTGTCACTTGTTTTTACATTGTGGCGTCATTTTAGAAATTGGTTGTCTACATCACCATGGATTTAACTCGTGAAAATTTTCGTAGTATGATTTTCTACGACTTTAAGTGTAATTTAACAGCTCAGCAGCAATCGAGCGTATGGGTCTTTCGAGATGACCCGAAACCAACTAAAGAGACGCGCGTGCAAAGTGCTTCTAAGCGGATGATTGCTTCTTTTTTTAATAACCCTTTGATATTCAAAATGTCACCTGTCAGATTTTGCAATGTTGATATTTGACACCTTGCAATTACCGCGCCCGTTTAGATGACGTCACCCTTCAGATAATTACTTGTAAAAAAATAACTAGACCACTTAACCTGGTTCTGTAAACGGCATTGGCTTTCTAATTAGTTTATCTTTATGATGCTGTAATGAAGAGAACCTAACAACTCAAATGATTGTAGTAAAAACGAAAAGAAAACGAAAAAAGCATAATATTATAGGAAATCTACTCATATTCTTATTGGAATTGAATAGAAAGCCTAAAAGAAAGTCTATTTATGACAAATCAATAGAAATGCAATGTAGTTCTTTGTGAAAAAGACCATAATTTATTTTTTGAAAAACATCGAAAATCTACCTCTTTTGTTTCTTATATTGTAGTGATGTGCTACGTACCTTACGATTGAATTATCGACATCTACTTTTTTTTGCATACAAATTGATTGAATGTTTATAAATAAATAAAAAACATTATTGCAAGCAGTATTTGTTTTATTTAGCAACTAGGACTCAACAAAACATACCTTATGTAAATTATCATATAATACAAAGAAACGACTAACACACATTTTTCAAGTATTATAGGCTAAAACGTACAGACAACAGCATATCAAGCTAAACATTATGGGATCTTATTCCGTTGTCTTTACATACATATCATCACGCCTGTCTCCCACTGGGGTAGGCAGAGACTACGGACCACTACTTGATACGCTCCTGACAACCGCTTACCCGCTCGACCCTCAAGGTGTTTACTATCTTAAAAATAAAAAAAATTTGAACTGTTTATTTCGAAAGTTTACAACAGTTATTTCAAATTACTAAAGCTACAATTTTTATAATCTAAAATTATGCATCACAGCAACATCTTTACATTATTTCTACTCTAAAAACTTGTTTACTTATACAGCTCTTATATAAAATTATTCCCTTGTCAAGTATCGTCTAATCAACCTGGTGCATATCCTTTTATTTGTTTGTTCTAATCTTTGTACCCCTTTTGTACCCTATTTAACACATCTAGAAGTACAAAAGCCCACATTCTGCTATCATATACTTTGTTATAATTTGGAAGTTTAAATGTACTTGTATAATTTTGTTTTTGTTAATTATCTACCGTTTCCTCTGACTTCGTGGAGTAATGCAGACGAGACGGTAAGGCCGGACGCGGCAGTTGTTTCGTTATTGTCGTTACTAATTTATATTGCCTAGGGTGACCATGAAATTAGTTTATTGTTCATCATTTCAGGCGAAAAACGTCCACTGCTGGACATAGTTTATTGTTCAGTGATCAGAAATGCTCTTTGATAATGTATTTTACACATAGTAATAAAATAGCTTTCATCATTATCAAAATGACCTGAATAACTGGTAAGTAGAAAATTACCATATAGTTAGTGTTTTCAGGAATAACATAGACAGGTATCGAGACCTTCATAGCGTAATGATTCTAGACAAAATAGCTTGACAATAATTCTTTTGATTTACAAACGTTTGGTCACCCTAGCAGACATGTTCACGAGTGCTCAAGCACTCACGAACAAATACAAACACACGTTCACTCAGATTCATAAATCACAATCATACCTGCATACAATCCATCCCTTACAATAGACAACTGGTCGTAAAAGAATATGAAGCTAAAGCATGCCTACAAAACTACATGGAAGAAGAAGTATGATAAGAGCGGCTAGTATGATACATTTTAAAACAGTTCTCCACACACAGCGGCACGTCACAAGTATCGCACTTAAAAGGCGTCTTTTGCATTTTCCGCCCTTCCTGGAGGCAAACGACGCACCTTTTCCGGCCTTGGCGATTGCGTGTCTGATCGGTATCTGACTGCTGCAGACGAACGGGCCAATGTGTGTGTAGAACTTGAGGGAAAAGCGATCTACGATGAGATGATTCGACTCTCCGGCTTTTTGGAATGCGTGAGTGGTGAAGACTAAGAATAGTATGTACTAATTCTAGGCGGAATTGAAGATTGTCCTGTCGGGCCTTCAGGGAAGACTCTAACAGGATACGAGAGTTGTGGATAGAAGCATTAAGCAGACGCTTGAAAAGTTTGACGTACCACTTGGCACACCGCTTGCGCTCCAAAAGGTACGGCTCAAGCATTTGATCTTTAAGATCTACGCCGCCCATTGATCGGTTGTAGTCAAGGACCGCCTGTGGCTTGAATGGTTCAGGACGAGAGGGTGGACGGGATGATACATTGGGTAAGCCAGTAGCTGACCCATGGCATGTCGATATCATCGTAATTCTCTTTTTGTCCAACCAAGACAAGACACAGACGTCCCCTGAATGCCGCGCTACTAGTTGGCCCTGTTGGAGCGGAGCATGTGTGACAAGTTTCGGAACGTTTACGCGAGAAGAACGTAAGGTACCGACACAGTCAGTACCATTACGCTTAAGAAAGCGAGCGAGAATGGGAGAATTGAACCAGTTGTCCATAAACAAGCGATACCCTTTATTAAGTAAGGGCTCAATCAACTTTAGAACTACTGCGGTACTTTTTGCGATTTCCGGTCCAAGATCAAAAGAGCTCTGCTTTCCCGTGTAAACCAGGAAAGACCAGAGATAGCCCGTCGCGCTCTCGCAGAGTTCGAAAGTTTTGATCCCGAACTTTGCAGCCTCCGACCGATTGTACCGTCTGAAACCCATTATTGATCATTTAAATAGTAAATTTCAGGCCAATTACGTCTTGTCGAAAGACGTTTGCATAGACGAAAGTCTAACTCTTTGGAAAGGAAGGCTAAGTTTCAAACAGTACATTCGGTCGAAGCTTGCAGTGTCATTGGTGGTTGGGTTCGCAGCCTGAGTGGTATCCACAAAATGGAGAGCCCTGTTGAGATGGGTGTACCGCTTTAGCGATGTAATTCTGGAAAAGACTTCCGTTTTTAATAAAAAATTACTTGAAAAATAGCTAAAAAGTGTAGGCATACGGATAATACCAGTCATCATCCAGAACGCAAAGAGGCACAACAACTCATCAGCATTCGTTGGATACCATTCTGATTGGAAGGCAGCCGACGAAATGTGGCTAGCATACCGGTTCGTTTCATTCACAATTGTCTCTAAGATGCCATCGTCCCAGTAGGAACGGAATGCATCATACGGACTTGTGTATGATGAAACAGTGCCAGTATGCTCGGGAATGAAAGTTTCTTCGACACCCTGAAAAGTCTCCATCGGTGACCATTCGAAGTGGAGATCCTCACCTTCCAAAAGCGGACCCCTTCCATCAATGGCGTCCTCAAATTCGTCATCATCTTCGCCCTCGCTATTTTGCCCTTCATCTAAACGGGTACTTACGCGGGTGCCTCTCCGTGCTTGAATTGCTTCCTCTCTCGCCCGTCGCCTCCTAATTACATCCCTCGCCATTTCACGCAACTCGACGGGAACGTCGTCGTCCGTCAGCCAGACCTCTTGCAGAGGATGTCCACACTGCCAGTTGGACGCCTGGCGACGTCTTCCTCCCGCGCGCCTCTGCCCACGGACTCTCACACGCCCTCCTCGCCCACGCCTCGCTCTACCCCTCACACTCCTTTCGCTTCTTCCACCCACCTCATCACCTGTGGCACCCCTCTCACCAACCAAACCTGTGCTACACTCACTTTCAAATAGGGCGTGAGAGTCCGGTACAAAAAACTCGCTGTCAAGCGAGGAGTCGGCAGCTTCCACAAGCACGATCGACGACATAGGTCTGAAATAAATGTACCGTTATTAGTACGTGCAATGATCACCTTTGAACTAAACTATACACCCTTGGACTAAACTAGATAAAATATATTAACACTTACGTCTCCGATGAACGCCTCCTCTTGGACTCTGGCGACGTTAGGGGAGAGTAAGGTGGTGGTACTGGTAAGGAGGTGTTGCGATCATTCTACAAGAAAAAAATTACATCTTTTTTTTTATGTAACCAAGTGATGGGACGAATAAGTCGTGTGCCTGGTGGTAAGCAACACGCCTATCCCTAACAATTGCAGCGCCACTCAGAGCTTTAAATTGCAAAGATCTGAGGGGCACTGCCATTGCGCCCATCACCCTGAGACATAAAGTTGACAAGTCTCATGTTCCTGTAATTTCACCAGCACCCATACCCTTCAAAACCGGAACACAGTAATGCACGCATTACTGTTTGGCGGCAGAAATAGGTATGGTGGCAGTACTTCCCTGGACGAACTCTTACACAAGGAGCTCTACTGCTACTAAAATTAATTACATAATCTTAATTTTTTCAGAATGTTATGAAGTAATAAAAACATATAAGTACCTCTTCATCACTCATCTCTAAATATTCCGTCTCCCAATCTTGGTCGTGCTCCATATCCTCATCCACAATCTCTCCATACTCCTCCTCCTCCTCCAACACCTGCTCTTCGCCACTCTCTCCATAAAGCGCCGCCAAGAAGTCAGGGGGCGCCTCGGACCAGGGGTTCCACATTATTAAATTTACTAAATTTTTTAAACCTAAAACGTAAAAAAATATGAACTATACAAGTAAGGAAGCTACCTAGCATTTTTTTTGCCAATACATAGGTAATTATCATACATATAAAAAACCCAGACCGAAATAAATAACTACAGAACTGTTGTTCCGCGGCGGGAATCGAACCCAGTACCTTCTCCGTTTAGCCGGTTATTCACCCACTGCGCCACGAAGGTTGTCGTCACACACGAAATAAATAACTACTACACATTTGTTCTGCGGCGGGAATCTAACCCGGTACCATCTTCGTTTAGCCGGCTATTCGCCCATTGCGCTACGAAGGTCATCGTTTATTCCGGCCATACACTAAAAATATTTATAAACTAATCTAGGTATAAGTACTCAAATTATTTATAAATAAAACTATTAGTACGTTTGTGGGCTGATATGATCATGTCGATAACTAAAACATCGATGCCCATCACTTTCATTTACAAACTTTGACATTGATTGACACACACTTTCATGCAATTACGATCACTAAGTCCCTACTAATAAACGTCGAATTTGCATAATGGTTAGAAATTTACGGCGCACTTTTGGTAAACCGTTACAACAGTCAAAAATTTATATTTTTCTTGAATGATTGTTTTCATTTTATTGTTAGAAATATACAATTATGTGCGTAAATAATTAGTGTACATACGATTATGCAACGAATTTATATCATCCTTAGCTAAATTTGTACGGAAATCTCGAGAAAACGGCAGATTTTATATTGCCGATAATCGAGCTTCATAATCAAAAAATACAACGTAATTCAATAATCTAATTGCGTAAATAGCTTTATCATTCCCAAAACAATAAAAAACATGCTAGTTATTACATAAAATAA